TTGATAATATACAGTAAATATTTACTAAAAATAGATCAAAATTAAACTAATTTTTATGCCTAATAATTAATTATCTAGGTTTCATACAAATAAAAAAAATGAAACGAAAATTTAGAAAGAGGAGCATACCCTGTTATATAAAATAAGATAAATAATCATGTTCCTAATCAATTAAATTTTTTATATGTTTATTCATTGTTCCTGAATTCAGTTTTTTGTACAATAACTCTGACAATAAATGATGCAGTACAACGACTTTCGCATGGGTAAATGAATTTAGGAATCAGATATTGTTGCTACAAAATTTCAAAGGAAATTCGACGATTAGATTAGGTTTGTATTTTCAGGTTTTAACGTGAATAAGGAATGTTAGTTTTTGAGTATATCATGATGAAATTATATTTAAAATTTTCGTGTAGGATAATTATCGGTTTAATTTTTGGACAACAAACATAAGCTAATAGTTTTATAAGATGGCGCAGCAGATATTTAATTTCGTAATTACGATAATGTCACAGCAATGGATAAGAACGTCACATTCATCACATTTTATAATAAAATCATATTAATATTTATTGATTGATTGATAGTTTATTTTACATATAAAAAAGTGAAATAATTTTTTTTTGTTTAATTAATAAACTTATTTATGGGAAAAGTGAAACGGAAACGGAAAAGAATGATGCAGATACTTCGTATACAATAGATTGCAAAAAGATTTTAAAAATTAGTTGAGAATTGTAATTTTGATAAATTCATTTTTAATTAATTTCATCTTAACTAACCATAATTTTTTTTTTTTCTTTTTTTTTTTCGGGGGACGGTTTTGATGGCGGTTTTGATGGCGGTTTTGGTTTTGGGGGGAATAATTTTTTTTTTTTTTTTGTTAATGAAATAAAATCATAATTAAAATCTTAAGTTTTTTTAGAATATCTTTTCATATTCTTATTTTTTGACCAGGACTGTTTTATGGTTGCTTTTATATTTAATTTTAAACCTTGCGCAGCAAATGAAACGAATAAGGATACATAATACAAATCAAAAAAAAACTTAATTAAAAAGAAGAACAACGCGTAATCGCGGAAAATCGCAGACGGAAATAAATTATAAATATTATAAATAAAGAAATATCGTGCCATTTCAACATCTTTGTGTAAATCATGAGATGAAACAACTAAGAAAAACAAATATGAAATCATTTAGCCTGTAATCTAAATTAATCGAAATAATAACACCCTCTATGTTCCTTTCAAAGAAAGATAATCGTGTGTTTAATTTCATACATAATTATTGTTTGAATGATACGGATGGATACGAAGATACGGAAATAATTAACGTAAAAAAAGTAAAATATTTTAAAGTATACTGTATAATGAATGAATGAATTATCGTAAAATTTATTCAAGGGCATATAAATGAATATAATTTATTAATTTATAAAAATAAATAAATTATATAAATATATTACATACAATATTTTAATTTTTTAATTTTAAAAACAAAAAATTACGTGGCTAATAATTATTTTCTTACTAAACCATATTTGGATCCTTTGCAGATCCTGAGCAGGGTGAAATTTCCCACCAATTATCTATTTTTATTGATNAAAAAAAAAAAATTTTAAAACAAAAAATTACGTGGCTGATAATTATTATCTTACTAAACCATATTTGGGATCCTTTGCAGATCCTGAGTAGGGTGAAAATTTCCCACCAAATATTTATATTGATCAGCGATCCTTTTGGTTATTCCACGAATTAACGAATTACTAAAATGAAAGCCTTTGAACAAAGGACATGAAACATCATAAACATATGATAAAAGTTTTAAACCTTTAACGAAAAAGTCAATATATTGTCATTTGATTAATAATAATTATAAATGATGAATTATCGTAAGTTCAATCATCTGGGTATACTAAATGGATTACCTAAAATATTAGAGCTGATCTTTGAGTAATTTAATTTCGTGATATGTTTCTATTATTAATTTTTTATTTTTAATTTGACTATTAAAATTTTTTTTAGTACTTCGTTACAAATGCATTCCGTTTCAAAAATTGATTTCATTAATTAACTAGTAGAAATTGCAAAGAGTATGATGGCAAAACTTGCCTTACAAATAAAATACTATAATTTTTGTTATTTTCTTTTTAAATCAAAAGCAGTGTTGTTTTTATAATCAAAATGCAATGAGCCTTTTCTACGATCATGTATATGCGACAATAACCATCACACCTTTCAGCCTTTATACCACACATTATCTGTTAGAAGTATATTGAATATGAATAATAAACATTTTAAAATGCTTTTTTATACCAAATAAACAATTTTTTAAGCACTACGATAATTTTATTTTCCTAGTAAAATGTATAAAATGAAAAATAAAAAAAATGAAAAATATTGGAAAAAAAAACAATAAAAAAAAATGGAACAATTCGTCTAAACAAAAAAAACTAGAGAGGGGGGGAATAAGTTTGCAATATAGATAAAAAAGAAAAGTTACGTAATTCGTCACCGAAAATAATTTAGAAAAAAAAAGCTACCATAGATTATAGAAAGGACCGAACATATATAAGTATAAAAAAGCCATAATAGAAAGAACCGAACACATATAAAAAAAGGGAATTTACGAAAAAAAAAAACAAGATTTTTACGAAAAAAAAATGCGAAAACGAAAAGTATAAAAAAAAAATCGAATAATAATATATCAATAGGACAGTGATATACAGTACAACAATGTTCACGTACTGTAAGCCCACCTACCCACCCCACTGCCCTTTATTAGATCGGTTAAAGGTTGGAACAAATTCAGGTTTCTTGGCGATCCCGGTGATTTCTTACTGGTATTTTTTGCACTTTATGCCAGTAAGGTATTTAAGCTTACGATCGCCGTGTCATTTTCCGAATTCTCTTCCTCGATAAAATCTCTCTCGTAGACTTAACTGTTCGTGACACATTAGTGAAAATGGAGAAACATATTTATTTTCCTTTCTCTTTTTAAATATATACTAAAAGATGTAGTTTACTTACGACGTGGATCGAGAACATTCCTACAGCTAAATTAAAAAGAATATTAAAGTCAAATTGCCTTTTTTTTCCGACTTTATTTATTAAATTAAAATTACCGATCATTTATCCAAAAGCTACCACCATTTTTGCTGTGTTCCGGAATCTTTTTCAAAACAAGTCAGACCGGTGTCATAATTTCTTCATCGAAATTAACAATAATTGCATCAACTTATAAGAAAAAAACCAAAACATGTTTTCTAATAATTGATAAATAAAGGTAATATATATCGTTATTAATAGTTAATGTTGTTAGTGGTGTTTTTTTTTTAATAAAATATTTGATCCTTTATTTTTTTTTAAAAAAAGATTTCATAAAAAAACCCACCTATTTATTAATAAAAAAATTTTTTTGGCGTAATCATAGACTTTTTTTTTTTTTTTTTTTTTTTT